AAGCTGCCTGGCTGGCTGTGCCCTCTGGAATCTGCCATTCCACACACATTGCACCAGCCTTGCCCTGTTTCCCCTAGGGAGTGTGGCTGGTTTGCAAGGGGAATACAGAGCTTACTAGGGAAGCAGCATGATCCAGTGAATGGGACATGGAGATGGGTGACTCCAAGACTGAGGGGTATTCCTGCCTCTTCCATGAGCTTGCTGTGTTAAGTCTGCTTTGGTCAAGTCACTGCTGCTCTGAATTCCCCCCTCTGTAAATTGGGTGGATGGATGACCAGTCAGCTTAACTTCTGTATCTGAAAGATAATGGTGCAAATAATTAAGCAATCAATTTGCAAATATCTAGAAGATAATAAAGTGTTAAGAAACAGTCATCATGGATTTGTCAAGAACAAATCATGTCAAACCAACCTGAGTGCTTTCTTTGACAGGGTAACAAGCGTCGTGGATAGGGGGGAAGCGGTAGACGTGGTAGATCTTGACTTTAATAAAACTTCTGATACTGTCTCGCGTGACCTTCTCATAAACAAACTAGGAAATCCAACCTAGATGGAGCTACTATAAGGTGGGTGCATAACTGGTTGGAAAACCATTTCCAGAGAGTAGTTATCAGTGGCTCACAATCATTCTGGAAGGGCATAACGAGTGGGGTCCTGCAGGGATCGGTTCTGGGTCCAGTTCTGTACAGTATCTTCATCAGTGATTTAGATAATGGCATAGAGAGTACATTTGTAAAATTTGCGGATGATACCAAGCTGGGAGGGGTTGCAAGTACTTTGGAGGATAGGATTAAAATTCAAAATGATCTGGACAAACTGGAGAAATGGTCTGAAGTAAATAGGATGAAATTCAATAAGGACAAATGCAAAGTACTCCATTTAGGAAGGAACAATCAGTTGCACACATACAGAATGGGAAATGACTGCCTAGGAAGGAATACTGCGGAAAGGGATCGGGGATCATAGTGGATCACAAGCTAAATATGAGTCAACAGTGTAACACTGTTACAAAAAATGCAAACATCATTCTGGGATGTATTAGCAGGAGTGTTGTAAGCAAGACATGAGAAGTAATTCTTTTGCGCTACTCCGCGCTGATTAGGCCTCAGCTGGAGTATTGTGTCCAGTTCTGGGCGCCACATTTCAGGAAGGATGTTGACAAATTGGAGAAAGTCCAGAGAAGAGCAACACAAATGATTAAAGGTCTAGAAAGCATGACCTATGAGGGAAGATTCAAAAAATAGGGTTTGTTTAGTCTGGAGAAGAGAAGACTGAGAGGGGACATGGTAACCGTTTTCAAGTACATAAAAGGTTGTTAGAAGGAGGAAGGAGAAAAATTATTCTTCTTAACCTCTGAGGATTGGACAAGGAGCAATGGGCTTAAATTGCAACAAGGGCAGTTTTAGGTTGAACATTAGGAAACCACTCGTCAGAGTGGCTAAGCACTGGAACAAATTGCCTAGGGAGCTTGTGGAATCTCTATCATTGGAGATTTTTAAGAGCAGGTTAGACAGACACCTGTCAGGGATGGTCTAGATAATACTTAGTGCTGCCATGAGTAAAGGGGACTGGACTAGCTGGCCACTCGAGGTCCCTTCCAGTCCTATGATTCTATGATGTGGATTCTTAGCCACCTTTGAGATCCTTGAGTGAAAAGGCCACACAAGCACTAAGTAGCCACACTGCTACTTCTGTTAAAGGAGTTCTCTTTAGCGCAGATGGTGCAGGCCAAATAATAATGGCAAGGGATCTAGCTCCCGGGGGGTGGAGTGGAATCTGACTATCTCTTGTCTGCACCATGTGGGTTTGCTGCAGCTGGAGATCTCCTGGGTTGGGTCAGGATTTGTGCTTGGATGGAATATCATGTGGGTGCTGCAGGAAATGCAGCTGGTGATTTAGAGGAGCTCAGTCTGTACTGAATCGGCTCTCCACCCACACAGCTAAAGAGCACTGTGAGGTGGAGGTCGAGATGAGTTTTAAAGTCACAGTTCCGACCGCTTGTGGTCAGTAAAGACCCAGTGCTTGGAAGCATGGAAGCCCGGGCAAAAGGAAGATCATTCTAACACTGCTGCCTGCCCAAATGAGATCCACCGGTAGTTTCCATGGGATATGTCGCTTTCTCCACTTCCTGTCCTGGGTGGCTGGGTAGCACAGCGGTGCTCTGTTAAACAGCTGCTGTGTTTTCCCCGAGAGGTGACTGCCTGTGAGTGGCTGGGGAAACATACAGAAAGATGCGATATCAACTCATGCTAACACCCCCCACCACCCGTTTCCCAGCAGAAAGCTGAAACCGAGAGGGTGCAAGCGGTGGTCATAGTAACTAGACAAAGCTGTTGCCTTCCAACAGAGTCAGATGTAAAATATTTAAGTACCTCGGTTTGAAATGAAAGGGGGAAAAGCCAGGTCCTGGGGTTAATAGAACCTGCTCACTTTATTTCTGTTTCTCTAGACTAACATACTTTGCAATGCCCTCCCCCTGCCCGAAGCACAAATAGCTTCTTTGCTGAGCAGTTCCCTTCCACGGTATCGGGGCTGCCATCAAAATACATTCTCGTCGCCTCCCAAAGTGCAACGGTTTGCAAAAGGTCAAGAATATGCGATTCGTGAGAGCAAAACCAAGCTGCAAACCGGCACTCCATTTATTGTAAAAACAGGCTGAAATTAGCCAACGGGGACAGAACTCCCTGTCGTCAAAGGATTGATCGTGGAACACGCCCTGCCCACCGGTGCACACAGCTCTCCTGGCCCTTGCAGAGCTGTCGGAGCAGGGAGAGTCGTGGGCAGGTGTGTGTGAGTTATGGAACACTAGCTGAGCCGGGGCGAGCTCTGAGTTACTACTGAGACTTCTTTCCCAGGTGTCTGGCTGCTGGGTCTTGCCCACGTGCTCAGGGTCTAAGTCATCGCCAGATTTGGGGTCAGGAGGGAATATTCCCCCGAGTCAGATTGACAGAGACCCTGGGGGGTTTTCGCCCTCCTCTGCAGCATGGGGCACAGGTCACTTTCAGGTTTAAACCAGTGTAAATGGTGGATTCTCTGTAACTTGAAGTCTTTATACCATGCCTTGAGAGCTTCAGTGTCTCAGCCAGAGGTTAGGGGTCTATCACAGGAGTGGGTGGGTGAAGTTTCTGTGGCCTGCAGTATGCAGAAGGTCAGACTAGACGATCATGATCCCTTCTGGCCTTAAAGTTTAAGAGACCCAATCCTGCAGCTGAATCAGCGCAGGCTGCTCCTTATACTGCAGGATCAGGGCCTTAGTCAGTGAGGCCAGTGGTTTTCAACCAGGGGTACGTCTTCCCTTGAGCTCTTCCAGCTCATCTAGATATTTGTCTCATTTTACAACAAGCTACATAAAAAGCACTAGCAAAGTTAGTACAAACTAACATTTCATACAGACAGTGACTTGTTTCTACTGCTCTGTACACTATACAGTGAGATGTAAGTACAATATTTATATTCCAACTGATTTATTTTATAATTATATGATAAACATGAGAAGGCAAGTCATTTGTCAGTCGCAGCGCGCTGTGACACTTGTGTATTTTTATGTCTGATTTTGTAAGCAAGCTGTTTTTATATGAGGTGAAATTTGGGGGCACAGACGAATCAGACTCCTGAAAGGGGTTCAGTAGTCTGGAAAGGTTGAGAGCCACTGAGTTAGGACACCCTGTTTCAGAAATGCTGTGATGAAAACAATCCTTGATCTTCTGACGTTCACACCCATTGTCTGATGAGAGACGTCAGATCCTTGAGAGGATTCTCTGTGGAGATGGGTAGAAGGGCTAGCAAGTCATGGTGCTGTGAACACCAGTGTACTGATTGCTGTTTTATTTTGGTTTTGTTCCTTTAAATATGGGCCCCATTTGTTTGGTGAAACCACAAGCATAGTTGTTAAAAAGGTAACTAACTCTGCTTTCGTTTTACTTAATTTCCTTAATTTCTGAACCCACCCTCTCCGCTTCCGTCATCTTAAAAATACAGGGATCTGTGCACATAAATGCTTTAAAAATCTTGCAGTTATTTCTTCGGAGTAAATGGCATTTATCAAATACAATAATTTGTTGTATTCTTAGGAGGGGAAGTGGGCTTCAATGATAGGAAAGTATGATTTGCCCAACCCTAGCTTAAGGGTTTCCTGGATCCCAGATTTTATCAGGTTTAGTGTCCAAGTTTTGTTCCTAGTTACAGGTTTTGTTCTAGATTCAGATCATTTTTAGCACAGGCTGGACAGATTCCATCATCCTTATCACAGAACCCAGTCAGTCAGCTCTATAATCACAGCTCTCTACTGGGAGGCAGTGCGGCCCTGGGGGGAGATTAACAAATACTCAGAGCTCTAGTCCCAATTTGCTGCATCAGTAGGAGTTGTGGGTGCTCGGCAGCTTCTGAAAATTAGCCCCCGCCCATATTTTGAGCTAGGTGGTCCAGAAACAAAAGCATGATTTAAAAGATTGGCCTTAACCCTTCAGTGCCTCGGTTTCCCCATTAGTAAAATAAGGACAACATTTCTTACTCACCTTCATCAAAGTGTTTTGAGAAACACAGGGGGAAAAATGCTATAGGGAGAAGACACGTTTCCATCTTATTTAGTTTAGAGCTTACAAAACAAATGTTTTTTCCTGTATTTCCTTCCTAAAAATTTAGGTTCCTATATTTCTCACGTTCCTAAGGGTGGCAAGGAATCATCGGGAGATATGAATGATGGTTGTGGTTCCGAGTGCATCATTTGTCACTTACCTCGTGAATTCCTGGAGGCCTTCCATGGTTTCTGATGGGCCCCGCTCGGTTCTCTTTTGTGCTGTTTTCGGCGTAGTAGTCGCCGTGTTGGTCCCAGGATATCAGAGCTAACACCTTTTATTGGACCAGGTTCTGTCGGTGGAAGTTAGACGTTTACAGGATAGTACCTCCCCAGCTTGTCCCTCTCATGTATTCTCCTGCTGTTTTGTGTTTTAATGTTTTCATTTGGGTTTTATTTGTTTGCATGCGTTCCGGTGGCTTCCGCAGTATTTCAGGCTTGCAGAACTGCTGAGGGAAGTGGAGAGACTGCATGTCCGGGAGCAGCACAACTCACAGCATGGCAAGGTGGGGAGTGCCTCGGATTATTTGTCATTGAGGTGTGCGCCCTGGCATCCTCGAGGTGGCCAACAGTGGAAGTGAGAGGTGAGGGGTCCAGATGGGGGAGGCATGGCTCGAATCCCTCCCAGCGTGGAGCTCAGAAGGGTTGTGAAGTCACTGATTACCTGGGACGAGTCAACCTGCCACCAGCTCTTCAAGACACGGGGGTACCCAGGCCTCGTGGTTGTGCAGGAGGGGTTAGGGCAGCAAAACCATTCCCTCGTGACGTGTGTGGGGTCAGTGGCTGCAAGTGGGGTGGGGGGGGGTGGGATGGGGTGGGGGGGGGAGAGGACGGAGCGCTAGCTCCTCCCTCAACCAGCCGGGTGCAAAGGAAGCCGCATCCTGAAATTTCACCCCCAGAGCAAGAGGGGTTTGGTGAAGGAATCCTGACTGCCTGAGTCATAATTCCTTCCCGGGTCTCTTCCTAGGCTAGCACAGCTATGGGCCGTCCCTTAGCTGGGCCTGAGCCCAAGGCTTGCTCTGGCCCTGGGGTCAGCTCTTCGGTGCAGGGCCTGCCTTCTGGCTAGACGTGTGTACAGCGCCTAGCCTGGCAAGGTCCAGATCCCAGTGCGGGACCTCTCTAGGCGTGGCTGTAAAATGAAGAGACTGATTTTGCCACTCTCGTTTCATCCTAGCTTTACACTCACTGGGATGGGGGCTCAGTGCTGGGGTGGGGCGGGCTGGAGAAGTCCCGAGACAGAGAGTGTAAATCCACTGAAGTTGCAGTCGGGATGGACGTGGCCTGGGGAACAGCCCCTGAAAGAAGCTTTGTTCTTGTTCAGTTCAGGGTGTCCCACTTCCACCTGATGGAAGTGCGGTCTGGGGGGTGGACCCATCCCTGGGGGCTGGACCCATCCCTAAGACCTACACTGTCATTTGTTTCCAGCTTGGTGTATGGGCTGATATTTGGCCACATTGCTGAGTGGGTCAGGAATAGCTGCAGAGTAACACTTGAAAGAAAGGGTATATGTAGATCACGCAGCCACCTGTTCCCCACATTCCTGGGGTGTGAGCTACCTACCCACGTCAGTAGCCAAGGCATTGCCTCTGCCAGGAAGTTAATGTTCTGATAGCTGGAATTTCTTCTGGCTCTTTCATTAACCTCTCCCAGAAGTCAGGTCTGATTTTGACTCTTTTTGTCATGAAGAGGGTGCATTAATTCTAAGCGCTGACCCAGCCCTGCTGCCGTGAGCCTGTTTCCTGGTGGCTCTCAGTGAGTATTGGGCTCGGTTTCTGCCCCAGGGACGAGGCACGCTCGTGTGGGTGGAGCTCCTGTGAAAAGTTTTAGTGCTGATGAAACGTTCCAGAGATGTGAGCCATATTCGGAGGGGGGCCAAACTGAAATCAGCCCTGTCACGCCGATGTAACTGACAGCAGAGTTACGCCTCTTACCTTGCCAAATGGCAGCGTAAACTCCCTTGCACTGCGCCAGGGCTTTCCCCCTTGATCTGCCTTGGGGGGCACAGGGCACTCAGTCTGAATGCTCATGCATTCCTCAGCCTCTGTGCTGAGCCTCTCCGGGGTGGGGCAGGGGGTGGGGAGTTAATATCAGTGTCACGTTTTGTGGTGCAGCCCAGACCAGTCAGGGGCTGTGTCACCGCTTGTCCTGTAACCCTTAAAATACTCTGCTGTTGCTACTCCCTGTCTGGGTGCTCCCAGCCAGCTGACAAGCCTGCACTGTGTGTCTGTGTTCAGCAACCCTGGTTCAGCAATTCTGACCCCAGCAGCCTGCTTGTTATGTCAAAACCACAGTCTGGTCTCTGCCAGCCTGGGTTACCACTGTCCAAGTGACCCCAACACACCCCCAGGCCTGAATTTCTTCCAGTTTTTCTACCTGAACTGTCCTGCCCTCTCCTGGAACGTTCAGAGGCGTAAAAAGCTCCATCGCTCCTTTAAAGAGACAAAAGCCCGGCAGCACATTGCTTTAACCGGCATTAACAATCACTTCAGGGCAAACACAGCACTGGGTTGATTTGTAATAAACCGAGATTATTTCATCAAAAAGCGATAGGTTTTAAGTGAGTGTAAGCACAAGGGATAAAGACACAATGGTTACAAGCAAATAAAAGTAAAGTACGCTTCCCAGTGGCTAAGACATAACTCAACAAGCTACCACCTTGGTTCTAGGTAGATTTCTTACCAGTCTTTTTCTTTCCAGCCACGGCTGACTTTCTGTCAGTCAGGACCTTGCACTTTTTAAGGACATAATTCCAGCACATATCCATAACTCTTTGTATGCACCCCAAACATACATTCCAAGAGCACAGTAATGATCAGTTCCCAGAAACTTCAACCCCCCTGATTGAAAGACCCATTTTTCTCAGTTCACAAGAGCTCTGTCCCCTTGTGTCTGTCCAGTGATGGATGCCAAGATGGCTTCTTCTCTCTCCGAATTGTCCCAAACTCACTGTTTGGTCCCCAGACTCAGGATGACCTCTCGCTGTTCTTCAGTGCCAGTGGACTTCACATCCCCCATATGTAAATGGGGCTTCCTTTGTTTTTGTTCACACCTTGCTTAATTTCACTGGAGACAGGTAGACAGCTCCCTTCTCTCCTGTCTGGGAGGAATCCCATTTCTCTCTTAGTTTGGTCACTGACTTTAAAACATAATATCAGTGAGTATCCATAATTTCTCTTACAGTGTAAATTCATACTTTATACAATGATAGTAATCACCAGTGTGTCATTAGCTTTCAAAAAAGACCATACTTGATGCACTTTTATAATAGTCACATTGTACACAATCAGTTGAGTCAGTTGCGTGTCATTTGTGGTTCAGAGCCCGGCAAGGTTGCTAGGTTGATGGCTTTGTTTACCTTTTATGTAAATGTATCTTCATTGCCGCTGCCTGGCGACCCGGCTAGTCAGACAAACAAATACACATTCCTTTGTCGAAGACAGACTGGGCTTACACATTGCTTGCCAAACACTTTAAAAGGACATAATTCCAGCAGATATCCATACCTCTTTGTACGCACCCCATACTAACGATCAGTGAGCTATTAGCTTGCCAATGATAGCATACATGACACCGTTTAGATACAGATCAGGACAACAGTGTGTGTGAGTGTAGCGAGTATGTCAGGCCTGACAACTGCTGCTGACATAGAGTAGTGAGCCACCAATGGGCCTCTGTATCACAGTTAGTTAGCAGGCTGGCTTGCTTACATGGACACCTGTCTTCTACAAACTGGCCTGAGCTATTGAGCCTGCTTCTCCCCTGCCTTGCACCTTATGTGCAAAGTGGGTGAGACTTGGGCCCAGTTACAGGACAGAGGTTGGGGAGAGGAGCCCTCTCCCCAATTTGCAGAGTGGCTGCTCCCCAATGGCTGACGTATTCCAGAGGATCCACAAAGCCATGGATTCCCTGGCCCCACCCGTCCTTCAGCGTGTCTCAGCAGCACCTCTTCCTGTCCCATGCATGCCGCCACACAGCTATCCCCGCAGAGCTGAGCTCCCCATTGCACAGGGGCTGCACGTGGGCTGTGGGGCAAACCTCCAGCATGACACAACCTCCCCACTTCCTGGGGAGCCTCTGCTCCTGCTGGGGATAGACTTGCCCTGAAAGGAATAAACTCAGTAGGAGACAGGCAGCGTAGCACAAAGTCCTGTGTGTCCTGTCCCCTGTATGGCAGTGCAGGAAGACAGCTGCTCTGCGGGCCAAGGAGTGTCAGTATTTTTCCTCAGAGGCACCAGCATGGAATAGAAAAGTTCCCTGGGATGTTCTTTCCCCTGTAAGGTACCCGTGTGCTCGAGTGACTCCCTGCCAGTAATGGAATGAGACTGCCAGGAGACGTCCTTTCGGGGCACTGAGCCCATGGCCCGGCTGCGTCTTTCTGAAGCGTGTCCCGTTGCTCAGTAAAGCAGAGGCTGGTCCTGCGAACTCAGGCTGTTGTTTAGTTTAATTATTATGGAGGCGCCCGTCTATAGTAGGGTTGGGTTGAGATTTGCAGCCAAAGTGGGTAAATGCATGTGTACAGTGGAGCCCTATTCCCCTGGAGTCATTTTCTTCTCTGAATACACGCTCTGTAATTGGGGGGTGATGGTAGCCCTGCTATTGTTAGGAGCTGCAGTGAGCTGGGCCTTTAATTCGACAGCGAAAGGAGAGTTTCACGGCGGCGGAGTTCCGCGATCGGATGTCAAACATGACACTCCTCGAGATTCTGGTTTGCTCACTTACAGCTCTCTGTCCATCCCCCCCACACAGTGGTGATAAATTGCAGGGCTGTCGCATATCCAGGGGGCATGTGATGACTTCGGAGGCAGGTTTATGGGTCAGTTTAGGACCGCTGCATTATTAGGGAGTGCCTGCTTGTGTCCATACCCCATCACCATAGGCGTCCTCGTTTTCTCTGCCCACCTGATTATACAGGGCCGGGTGCCCCCTTGCTCTCCCACCTGCTTGCCAGGTGTGCACCTGCAATCTTGCACCATGTCCATGCCGTCACCCTTTGCAGGGGCCGGATGGGAGGGGAGGCGTGGGAATGTGTGCTTGCGAAAGCTGTTGCAGCACCAGAGTTAGAATTGCTGGAGGCCACTCCCAAGAGTTTGTGCCTGCAATGCAGGGGGCATGTGTGCTGCAGATGTACCCGGACACGTGTTCCCCTCACCCTCCCGGTACACTCTATAGACAGGTCAAGTCACTGCAGGCCACCTGCTGCAGGGTCCTTCCAGGTAGGGGAGCCCCTTTCTCAAGGATTGCTTCTACTCAGGACAGTTATTTTCCACTCCTCACCCCCACCGGGAGGGTTCTCCACCCTGCCTGACTGCAGTGGGGGTTGAGGGCACTCAGGGCCTTGCAGCATCAAGCCCTATTTGCAGGGAGAAGGATTTGATACCTCGACCTCACAGTGAACGTGCTGGAAAGTGCAATGTCTCTGCCTGGTGTCAAGGAAGCTCCGACCTGATTCTCTCTGGCCCCGCACCTCACACCAGTGCAGAGTAGGTTCTGACCGCTCCCCTTTGGA